CTTAAGAAGTTACATGGAGCTGAACTGTGAAGAGATTCTTCACAGGCAATGACTGATTGGAAGAGAGTTCAAGCTCAGGAAGAGCATGACCTAAATAGTAATTTAGGACTTTGGATCACAGGATAACATTTCTGGAGCGGGGTGGTGGACACCAAAATGAGCCCCAAATTCTGTTTCAAATCCATCACAGAAAGGAGGGTAGCCCTAGCCAATTTGGCTCAGTGGATATAGCATCAGCCTGTGGACCAAAGGGTTTTAGGTTCGATCCTCCCAGGCCTGGGCTTTGGTTAGGTTCATGCAGGAGGCAACCAACTGATGTGTTTCCCTCACATCATTGTTTCTCTCTGTCTTTCCCTCTCTTTTCACTCTCTCTAAAAATCAATGGAAAAATATCCTCAGGTGAGGATTAACAAAAACAACAAAGAAAAAAAAAAGAAGAGAGCGTGCATTAGAAAAGAGAAAGATTGAAGGCAGAAAAGCAAGATTTTTGTGCTTAAACCAAGAGAGGAAATGAGAATTGAATGCATGAGGTGATAGTGGAAGTATAAAAAGGTTCACCTGCAAGATAAGGCACATTACAGAGGCCCATACAATATGATCTGGCCATTGAGTGAATGTGGGAGATAAAGGAGTAAAGGAGCCGAGTGACAGATGGCGCCAACATTTTATGCCTGGGTGACAGAGGAAACAGAAATAAAGCAACCTGAGGGATGATGCCTGAGGAAAGGCTGGGGACTCTGCAGCACAGTCCCTGAAGAGAACAGTTCCAATTGAGTGACTCCCCTACAACTGGCTGTGAAGCATTGATGAGTGAGGGGGTGAAGAGGAAGTGGAGGAAGGCAGTGGAACCATAAGGTTTTAAGAAGCTTTGGGTAAAGGACCGGGGCACTGGGCAGTGTTGGGGGATACTGCTATATTAAAGAAAGGGCTTTTGGATGGGGGAACACTGTGGCACACTTTAATATTTAAAAAAGGGTCTGGTGATTACAATTTTCTTTAAATATTAAATATTTTATAAATTGCAAGGTATCTCATATTCTCAAAACAATACTTTGAATCAAGAGATCACAAAAGTAGCAAGCAACAGGGCTGGAACTAGCTCCTGCTACATGGCATTAAAAATAGTGAGAATGATAATGCAACAAATGACTTCTTGAAGGACTAAAATCTTGGTGGATGGAGATGGGCTGAGGCGCACAGGCAGAAGGAAAGGAAGAAAGAACATTTTTCCTAAGAGATAAGTACACAGGAGGCCAGAAAGGATAAAAATGCAAAGTATTTTGAGTGGCAAAGGAGGAAGTTGAGGTAACAAAGGGGGAAGTTGAGGTAACAAAAGCTTTGAACTTCTCAGTAAATGATAGAATTATTGGACCTAAAAATCATAACTCAAACCAAAACCCATGAGAGCTGTGAGCTCCCCTTCAGAGAAATAGTGGTGTCTTTTAAAAATCAAAAGAGATTTACCATAAATTGGGGCTGTGTCCAGTAAATTGAGTCTTTATTTTAATATAGCTTAGTGAAAATAAGGTCCTATTATTACCATATTTTGACCAATGTGGTCGTAACCCAAACTGCTTATGAGTTATTAATGTGCCAATGAGTCTTTGGGCATAACCATGTAGGGCACCATGTAAGTGATTATGAATAAAATTTTTAATAGAACAAAGCTTTGGGAATCTACAATATTCTTAGGAGTATGTGAACTAGTTTTATATATTTCCATAGAATGAAGCTTACATCATCCAGTCACTCTATAATGCCATATATTGGATATATAAAAGCCTAATCGACCGTTCAACCATTCGACCCGTACTGACCACTGGGAGGCAGATGCTTAATTCACAGGCATGGAAACATGGAACAGACTGATGAATCTGAGAGGGGAGTGGAGAGAGGGGAGGGCAGGAAGAGATTAACCAAAGATCTTATATGCATACTAAATGCTTGGTGCACGCATTTGCACACAAGTGGGGTCCCTTGGCCTGGCCTGAGGAGATCAGGCTGAAACCAGCTCTCTAGCATCCCTAGAGGGGTCCCCTATTGTGAGAGGGTGCAGGCCAGGCTGAAGTAATTATGAACAATTTTTTTAATCGAACAAAGCTTTAGAAATCTAAAAATTGTTCACAAATCCATGCACCAGGCCTCTAGTATAATATAATAAATATAATATAATATAATCACACACTTAAGTATATATTTATATGAAAGAATATTTGCATAAGAAAAGAAGGAGCATATAGAAACAGGTATGCTTTTGTTTATCTGATACCATTTTTATCTTAATATTTTTGAAAGCTTTGTAGAAATTTACATAACAGGACATTATTTTAATAGAGAAAATATATTTTCCCTAATGGTCATTACTGCCATTAGCCACTGCAAACATAGCCTGAGTAGAACTTGCTTACATAAATGGTTTATCTCACCAATAATACAGATACAACCTTAGGCCATTGAAAAAATATGGGGAGATTAAAAACAACAAAAGTCCAATCATTTAAATAATTGATGACTTTTGCTCTTTAAGTCATCCTCACTAAAATGAGCCCTCTGGAGAAGAGGGTGGTGCATCCCAGCTCACTGCACACTTGTCTGCAAAAAGACAAAATGCCTGCTTAGTAAGGAAGGTGTTGGGAGAGTTGGAACTAGATGCATATATACTATTCCTGGCTCATAGTAGGTGCTCAGTGAATAACTGAATGTGATCTAGCTTGTTGTGTGGTAGAGAGAGCACCAGTCTCAGGACCATGGTGACTACCTTTTGGTTTGGCTTGGTCACTGGGTGAACAAGGCATGTCCCATCCCTGGGCCACCATTTCCTCATTTGTCAAATGAACTGAATGGTTTCTGAGATTCCCCCTGAGTAGCTTTAAATCCTGCCTGGTGATCAGAATCCATTTGTAAACTCCGTAGTGGGCTACATTGATATATTCCTTTTGGTGGGTACAAAGCAGAATCCCAAGACTACACCACGTATGATAATCTAGAGTCTGAGCAAAATCAAGTGCCAAGCATTCAGTCAAATCCTCCTCTCTTCCCTTCAGCTCAGACACATATTTTTTTTCTTCAATTGATTTGTAATCACCCAATTTGAAGGAGAAGAAAGGGGTTCATTAGTAAAATAGACTGAATTCCTGTTCCCTATAGGGACAAATCAGTCTGGTACCATAGGTACCTCATTGTAGGGGTTGAAGTCCACATTTCAAATCTTTTTTTAAAAAAAATATATATTTTATTGATTTTGTACAGAGAGGAAGGGAGAGAGATAGAGAGTTAGAAACATCGATGAGAGAGCGTCCTCGATCAGCTGCCTCTTCTTGCACACCCCCTACTGGGGATGTGCCCGCAACCAAGGTACATGCCCTTGACCGGAATCGAACCCGGGACCTTTCAGTCTCCAAGCTGACACTCTATCCATTGAGCCAAACCGGTCTCGGCCACATTTCAAATCTTTATTAGTCATGAAACTTTGAACAATTATCTAACTTTTCTATGTCCTTGCTACCTTCTGTACCAAGTAGAGACAATGACTTATCCCTAATCTACTCTGTGAGGCTCAAATGAGATGCCAGATGTGAAATCCCTTTGTCATTATAAAGTGGGTACAAAGGTGAGGCCCAGGACACATCCAATTACCTGTTTCGTGGCATACATGTAGTTGCCTGGCTCTGTGTGACTTCAGTAAGATAAGCAAGATGTACAGACAGTCTTGGTCTTCAAGTCTCCTTACATAACTTGCAGTCAATAAAGACAAGAACAAAGATGTGTCCCGAAAGAGATTTCCAGGGCTCAGGGGAGACCAAATAGAATTCATGTAAGAAATTGACATAAACAAATGAATACCAGAAGGAAGCCCCAGGTAAAGAGGACTGAGCAGTCTTGGAGTATTAGAGCTGGGCAGGACCTTGATAATAATCACTGTCTAACTTCAGAAATGAATAAATTATGAATTTTAAGAACAACTAGCATTTACTACTTTCTCGCTATGTATTGGGTACTTTCACTTACTTCTCACAAATGTCTGTGAAAGGGGTATTGTACTCATTTTTTCAGATAGAAACAAGATAAACTAATGCTCAAAAGGGAATAAAGCTAAAAACAAGAACAGCAACAAAACAGCTAATAATTATTCAGACATAAGTACCTTACATACATTTATTTCTTCAATCATATTTAGTAAGAGACTACTAAAATACTAGATAAGAGAGGACAAGATCTCTGCTTTGATGGAATTTATAAACAAGCAAGCAAATATAATGGGTTGTTGTGGGAAAGAGTAACTAGCAGGTTGAATCATTGATTGAGGGTTCAGGGAAGGCTTCTCTGAGAATCTGACATTTGAGCTCCATCTGAGTAAAAAAAGACACCAGCCATCCACAGACCATCCATCAGTTCATTTAAACCTTATAGCAACCCTATGAAAAAAGAATTATTATTATCTTCCATAACAAGAGTCCAACTTGAGGCCCAGAGACTTTTAAAAAAATTTGCCCAAGGTTCACAGCAAAAAGAAGAACCATGATTTAAACCTAGGCAATTTGAATCAGGAGGCCATGGTTTTATGATGCCTGTGGTCCACCACAATGGACAAAAGCAAATAAGCAAAGGAATAAAGGCAAATCCATACAAAATGCATTTTCCAATATTAAAGCATTAAAAAAAAGCATCCAGGGCTGAGAGACAAACAGAATATGCAGATATATGAGCATGGTGTTCTCTACAAAGATAAATTATACCCCAAACATAGTTGTCAAGAATACTGGCAGCAAACCCTGGGCCCATATGTCCTTGCCTGAGATGCCCCATTCAAATCCAGTAGGACTTGTTTCAAGTCCAAAGTCACAAGGAAGAGGCCATGTTTACCCTCAAAGACACCTATGGGAAAAAATTCTGAAAAAAAGTATTCAGGTTGAATGACACAAGATAAGAGACTACTGAAATCCTGTTCTCCCTCTTTTCATTTTATTATTTGTTTTATTTTTAGGATTTTTGAGGGTGAAATGACAACACCCAGAAATTCAATGAGTGGAGCTTTCCCAGCAGATCCTATGAAAGGCCCTATTGCCATGCAACCTGCTAAGAAAACCATTACCAGGAAGGTATCTCCTGTGGTTGGCCCCACACAAAGCTTCTTCATGAGGGAATCCAAGACTTTGGGGGTGAGTCAGTTACCCTCCAATCCATATCCTAGGGATTCTCTGGCTTATAGAAGTAAATGCTATAGACTAGGTATAGGATTCAGTCCAATTTGAAGGTATCTGATCCAACTTGAGGTGTTCTTTATGTCTGAAACGGTGGGTCAAATCAGAGATGTACAGAGAAGTTATCACAGTGATCTTTCAATTTTGAGGCTTATATATAACATCCCAGTTCATTGCCAGCATCCTAGGCATATCTGCCTTGGAAATGACCCATCTTTTTCACCTAGGTAGTGAAGAAAATGAATCCACACAAGACATAGGTCTTGGCATATTCACCACTTCTTTTAGGCATTTCACACAAGCCCAAGCCAGGCTTCCAGTTTTACCTTTGCTTTTTGACTTGAAGATTATTTAAATTCACTCAACAGTGCCCCTATTTTCTCCACAGGCTGTCCAGATTATGAATGGACTCTTCCACATTGCTCTTGGTGGTCTCATGATAATCCACCTGGAGGTCTATGTACCTTTCTGTGTAACTGTGTGGTATCCTCTCTGGGGAGGCATTATGGTGAGTAAAAATTCACAACCATTTGGGGAGTGATGCAGACAAGAATTTTAAAAAGGCTACACAGGAATATACCAAATTAGTTCTGTGTTGAGGAAAGTTGAGTAGGAGATAGCTTGTCTGATTAAAGTAATTTGGTGGAAAGAAACTTGACTAAATTGAGTATGAATGACATTGTTGAGAGTTAGTTATCATGCTTCATGTGAAGTCAGAGAAGATATTCTACATGATTCTGCAAAGAGAAGGAAGAGTGTTCAAAACATGACTTATCCAAAGTCAAGTTGGTTGGGCAGAGGAGCACTAGACATTTGGACTACATAGCATGGTGTTTCGGAAAACAAAAAGGGGTAAGACCATCCTACTTCCAACTGCTTCCTTACAATTCTGTTTAGTTACTATTGCACATGGTGAAATTAGTCCTATCCTAGATGAATCTTCCGTAGCTTATTAGGAGACCAGCATTCCTTATGGCTGTTTCATGTACATGTTTTTCAAGCGTGTAAGCCTGTCTGAGTATGGTATGGTGCAGTGGTGTTTATATCGCCATTACATTTTAATAGTTACTATGATAAAGATGAGCCCAAGATTTTCTGAACAAGGGGAGATAGAGTAGAACAAGAATTTTCTCCATTTTTTACAGCTTGAACAGTAGAAAAAGAAAATGAGAAATAATCATCATCACTTCCTGTAGCAGCCAACATTTTAACTGGGGAGCCTATGACAATCAAGCCAAATATTTCCTACACTGATTCATTCTTCATTAACATCAGTCATGTAAATCATTGGGAACTACAAAGAGCAATTATACAAAAAAATTTTTTAAATTAAAAACAAAACTTTTATATCCACTATCTGACTACTAATTGATATGGAAATGTGAATTCTGCCTTTTAGTGTTTTTTTTAATTATTATTATTATTTTTTTAACCCTCATCGGAGGAGCGAAGATACTTTATTTTGCATTGATTTTTAAAGACAATGGAAGGGAAGGAGTTGGGGAAAGAGAGAGAGAGAGAAACATCATTGTGACAGACACTATGATTGGTTGCCACCCACATGCACTGGAACTAGGGGACAGAGAATAGACCTGAAACCCAGATACTTGCTCTTGACTTGGGATCAAACCTGAGACCCTCTGGTGAGCAAGTCTACACTCTAACCACTGAGCAATATTGGCAGGGCATCTTTGGTTTTATTATTTTCCTAGTCACAGCTCCTTAGTTGGTTGAATAAGAGGCATGGATTGAATATAGTTGAACTTGAATAAAGGGGAAATATGACCACTGAAAAAGAAATGAATCCAATAAAAATAAAGCTAAATAGGTCAGTGAAAGTGGTTGAAAGCATGGATAGCTTTTTTACAACCCAGTTCTCAGTGTTACAAGTATCACTCTCTCTGCTTCTCTTCCCCTCTGCCAATTCTCCCATCTCCACACCCTTCCTTACCTACCACTTCTCTTTTCACAGTACATCATTTCTGGATCACTCCTGGCAGCAGCCAAGACAAACTCCAGGAGAAGTTTGGCAAGTAACCATATATTCTTCTCTTCCACATATCAGAGGAATATTTGATTTCTCAGTTGAAAACAAATACCCTTAAAGACCTTTGGAATCACAATAGCATTGAGTTCTCTCATCCCTAAAAAGTAAAATATCCTCTAGAATGATACTGTGATTTTATTTAAGAAAAACTTGAAAATGAGATCTACTTGAAATGTATCCGTGGAAACAATTTAAAGGCAGATGAATAGCATGCATATGATTTTATGCCTGATAAATGCTGTGTGAGACTAACAAATTTCCTTAAAAGCTATTTCATTTCTCTCAGGCCACCATTTAGGACAGCTATCTAATAAATGCTATGATTGACTTAAGTCCTAATTGACTTGGAGCTGTAATTTTGAACTCAGTTTATCTCCATGTACCTCTGAGTTTTCACCTGTAAATGGAGATAATAGTACTTATTATCATATGACATTGCCATTAGGATGAAAAGGACTAGTACACAGGAAAGTGCTTCGGAGGCACTTTGGAAGAGCTCCCATATTGTAAGGGCCAAGAGCTCACCAGCAGGTTTCCTTCCCAATTTTTGTTACACCTAGTAAGCTATCCGAAGTCAGTGAGGAGTTAAGTGAATTGAAATGCTCTACTCCAGGGGTGGTCTGACAAACTCAGTATGGGTGTGTGTGTCGGGCGGGGGAGGGGGGAGGAACTGTTTAAGAAGGTCATATTGTTTTATTCTCCAATACAGCCAGGCCTACTGACTTGCCATTTGTAGATTATAGTACTTGTCACATATATTTTCCTGTCTTGACCTTTTGTCATCCTTGCAAGTTAGAACACTCCCACTTAGATCCTTTTACCTATGTTACCAGACATCAGCCCTAAAGATAGTGTCTGTAGGGAGAAGGTGGTGTTATCAATCTTGCTGTTCACTTGGTGGTACAGATTCATAGGGTCTATCTTCTCTTTCCCTGTATATATCCACTTTTTTGATGGAAGAACCTTCTTTTTGCTCTCCCTCCTACCTTCTTACACAGACAGATATGGTCTGAATACTATTTATTTTCATTTACCCAATAAATATTGATTAAATACATACTAGGATGATGACACTACCATTGTCATCATCCTAGTATGTATTTAATCAATAAAATGAGATGGGAAATATGGAGAAAGGAACAAAATTGAGAGACGAAGGTTTTTATTCTACAGTGACAGAAAACTAAAAACAACTGAGGAATGTGGGGTGTAGGATGACTTAGTAGTACCTCTGTGAGTCAGAGGAATGAGATCTGGAATACCCTCCTAGGTTAAATTATCCAAATGGAAATCAAACCCAATTCATGACTTCATGTTTTCTTTTCAGGTCCAAGGGAAAATGATAATGAACTCAATGAGCCTCTTTGCTGCCATTTCTGGGATAATTATTTTGATCATGGACATATTTAATATTACAGTTTCCCATTTTTTTAAAATGAAGAGTCTAAACTTTATTAAGGCTTCTGTGCCATATATTAACATACACAACTGTGAACCAGCTAACCCTGCTGAGAAAAACTCTTTATATGTACAATATTGTTACAGAGTTCGATCCGTGTTCTTGGTAAGTGTGAAATATGATTCCTTTTCAGAGAGGAAATGTGGCATTTTTATTATGAGCGTCAACTCTAGATCCAGACTATCAGCATCTGGTGTTTATTGCCTCGTGCCTGTGGGCAAGAATTTTTAACAACACTCTGCCTCAGTTTTAATTATGAAATGGAGAAGATAATAGTACTTACTTACGTCCCTGTTTTGAAGGATGAGTCAGTATATACAAAACATTTAGAACAGTGTCTGGTACACAGAAAATGCTATGTATGTATTTATTTTAGCATTAATATTGTTAATGGTATTTACATTTATCATTATTATTATTAAGGTGAACATTAAAGAGCTACCTAAGTTGTTATGAATAGCTTTTGTCTCATGGAGTTTTTTGTTTTATTTTGTTTTAAAATATATTTTTATTGAGTTCATAGAGGAAGAGAGAGAGATAGAAACATCAATGATGATAAAGGATCATTGATTGGCTGCCTCCTGTATGCCTTCTACTGGGGATCGAGCCCGCAACCCGGACATGTGCCCTTGACTAGAATCAAACCCGGTTAGGGTTAGGGTTCAGTTCCCAGGCTGACACTCTATCCACTGAGCCAAACCAGCGAAAGCTGCCTCAAGGAGTTTTTAGTGTAGAGTTTAAAGGGGGGAAAGTGTATATCCCAAATGTGAAGAGGTTTCCTTGGTGTGATATCACCTAAATAAAGCTGGATACAATTAATTTGTGACTCAGTAATTATTCTTTCCTACATAGAGTTAATTCTTCAACTATTATTCACTTTCTGTCAGCAACATGGATTAACTATTTCTTCTGTGTCAGGAGTTACTAAGGCTTAGGTTACAAAACATACTGTAGTTCTTAAAGATAGTCATTGTTTACCTAAATAATTTATCTTTTAATCACTTAATTTTAGTCAACAGTCATTTACTGAGCACTTACCCTATTCTTATGTTTTTTATTATTACATTTCATCCTCATTTTTTCATTGTTCTTCAGAGCCTTTACACAGTGATGCTGATCTTTGCCTTCTTCCAGAAACTTGTGACAGCTGGCACTGTTGAGAATGAATGGAAAAAACTTTGCTCCAGACCCAAAGCTGTAAGTAGTAGCCACTCTGTCCTCAACCTTCCTCTAGGAAAATCATGTCTTACAAAAAAAAAAAAATCCTAGCCGAAACCGGTTTGGCTCAGCGGTAGAGCGTCCGTCTGCGGACTGAAAAAAAAAAATCCTAGATAGAGAATGTAATCCAAATCCAATGAGACTTTGAGTTTGAGCCTGGGAGTTTCATGAAAAATGGTCTTGGTGTATTACTGGGAAGCAGAAAATACCAACAATGATAGAAAATGTCTTGAAACTTGAAAAAAGTCTAAAGATTAGACAGAAGAAACAGTTCTATAGTATATGCATCTTCCTCCTAACCTTGACTTCTGCTTGACTCAGGCATCCAACTTGATTCCATACATCATGTGCAGATGGCTGAAGGTTGAAGGTTGATTAAAGATAATAGTTCTTCCACTTGATTTCTCAGTATTCTCTTCTTCCACCCAACCACCTTTTCATCCATCTAATCCCTCTTCCAAAACAATAGGTTTAAAGAAGCTCCACAACTGGGAAATAATCTATTATTAACTGCTTCAGAACCATAGAATGTCAGATTTAGTATAGAACTTAGGAGTCAGCACTGATTATTTCATTTTGCAGATGAGAAAAGTAGGATTAGAGATCAAAAATTATTTTTCCAAAATTATCTCCAATAAAGGCAAATCAAAATGAAAAGATAAATTCCTCTATTATTGCAATGTTTTTTTCCCAAATATTGGGTGATCATTCCCGGAAAGAGGGCAAAAACTGTTGGCATTGATAAATCGTGATTGATAAGAATATGAGCACCTAGGAAACTAATCCTGGCATTTGAGGGACATGGGAAATAAAATTAATAGCATAAAACAAGGAGTTATTTGATAAATATTTGTAGAGATTATTGAGAAATACGCCAATGATAAAAGTCAAGAAAAGTTTGTTGAATTTTGTGTTCTAGGACGTAGTTCTTCTCCTGTCAGCTGAAGAAAAAAAAGAAAAGGCAATTGAAATAAAAGAAGATGTGGTGGAGTTGACTGAAATATCTGCCCAACCAAAAAATGAAGAAGACATTGAAATTATTCCAATCCAAGAAGAAGAAGAAGAAGAAACAGAAGTAAACTTTCCAGAACCTCCCCAGGACCAGGAATCCTCACCAATAGAAGATGATAGTGCCCCTTAAACTTTGTTTTTGTTTTTGTTTTTGTTTTCTGTTTCCTTTTTCTAAGCATTAGTGTTCATAGCTTCCAAGAGATATTTACCCCCATTTCTCAAGACACTCTGCATGTATCTCCACATATCTCTCTGGTCTTTGCATCGAGTGACCACAGAGTGTGTGCAATCCCCTCCCCCCGCCCCCTCTTTCTGAAAATATAGCTATTGTAGCAGATTGCATTATAATGTTTCTTGTTTGGAGAAGTTTTCTTACATTAAAAAAAGGCAGAATGTGATTTTTCACTTGCCTTTGCCTTGGATAAATAGCCACAGTAGTGTTTTTTGTTTGTTTGTTTGTTTTTGTCTGTTTTGTTTAGTTTTCCATTTCTTCCTTTCTCAACAGGAAGATTCTGGACCTGATGAAAAAGATAAATGACTGCTGTATACCATCTAATTCCTACTACATCTATATTTTGGGTGTAGTCCCTTTGCACTACTGTTTTAATGAAAGCAAAAATAATAATAATGAGGTGCAATAAGGAGCCTATTCCATCTATCTTTCTATGGGGCTCACATTGACACACACTGAGCCTTCATAACCCTTCAGGGAGACTCTGAGAGACCAACACCCAATTCTTTCTTTGTACAAACAGCACAGCTTATAAATGGCCTTGTCTCTGTCTTAACTTTCTCTAACCCCTGCTCTAGGCTCTTGGCTGCATTATCTATCTACTTTTAGTCTTTAGGCAAGAGAAGAATGAAAAAATAATACCAAAAGTAGCCATATCTCAAATAATAACCAACAGTTGTATTTGAAGAATATTTTCTAGTCAACAAAATATTTTATCAAATAATTGATTTTGATCATCCCTGATAAAAAATAATTCCTATCCCTCTTTTACAAATGATTCAAAAGGATAAGTAATTTGTAAACAAGTAAAGGTAATTTACAGCTAGTAATTTTGAGGGCCTTTTTCATTACTAAATCTTTTTACTCAAATCCTGTAATGTTTGAAATAACCAAATTACCTACCAGTGCCCACATAAACTTTTTTTTTGGTGGGCACTGGTAGGTAATTTGGTTATTTCAAACCAAATTTCAAACCAAATTAGAGTTAAGTCAAAAGTTTTTTTTATCAAGCACACACTCTCTGACCAGCATGAAACAGGTGTTAAGGGAGACACAAAAGAATCATAAATCAAATTTTACCATGTGGGGATAAAAAGACTTACACATTCATAACCTTTTCAAAATTACTTACATCATTGATGTATAATTGTCTGTTAGATTACATAATGTAGATACTGAGTTATCAATGTTACAGACTAAGTGCTACAGACATTGTGAGAAAGAAGATCATGCTGAAAAATTACATAAATAGTTACAATACTTAATCTCAGGCAACTATCTTACTTACTGATTCTTGTTCATATTCAGAGAAACTAGTACCCTATGAAGAAAGAATCTTAACCTAGGAAGGTCACTGTCATCTATCATCTACATTTGAGCATTTGCTACATGTTGAGTGATGTCAGAATATGGCAAGTGTGTAGACAATGTGATTTTCACTCCCTGTAATATTTCCTTTTTTTTTTTTAGGGGCCACCAATGGAAGATATATCCTCTGATTAGAAAGAAAAAGGAGTAAAGTCCTCTATCTAAAGTCCTCAAAATTAGCTTTAAACAAATAAAACTATATTTTTATTCTTATCTGCAATAGATGATTCCAATATGGTATTTCTCCAAGTCTTCTTTATTCCTATAACATCAGATCATGTGAGGCTCCTAAAGCCTTAAGTACATATTCACACAAACCTAATCTTGGTGTGAATTATGAAGTATCAGGATATTAACTATTAATGTCAGTATATTCTTACATATACCCTTGCCCAAGGAAAATTTTCATAGGACAGGTCATTAATAATGTGTTCTTCACTCTCAGCACTCTAGAATTTGACTGAATTATATGGCAGGCACTCCTGCATTGAACTAGGGGAAAAGGAAGAGGGCATGGCAATGCTAGACTCAATGAGAGAGACAGAGAGAGAGGGGGGGGGGGGGGGGGAGAAAACCTTAAAAAAAAAAGAAAAAAAAGAAGACATATCCTAGAGATCCAAGATGGCTGTGCCCAGGTGAATACCTAGCTGCAGCCTCACAAAACAATTTCAATAAAATACAACTAAAATATAAAACGGACATTACCCAGAACTACAGGAAAGTTGACTGACTGGAAATTCTACAGCGAGAAGCAAGGAGAAAACCAGAAGGAAGTGCGGAGGAGCTGGAAAAGCCCAAGGTACGGAGACACGGTGCGCGGAGAGGACAGAGCTGGAGAGGAGGGGGAGGCGGAGTGCCTGGTGGGCGTTCCCTAGCGGAAAGGAGATAAAATTCCGACTGTGCTGGGCCCCATTCTGACTGCTCTGAACCCCAGGCCTAGGCCAGACCCCAGGAACCCAGGCTCAGCCATAAGGAGCCAGGCTGTAAGGCGGAACCCAGGGAAGCGGTGAAAGGGGGTCCCGGTGGCGGCGTGCAGTGCGCTCAGAGAAGGGACGGCCGGCTGTGCCACAGGATTGCCCTGGCGGGAAGGAGACAGGGGCGCCAGACTGCTCTGAACGCCACCTCCAACTCCACTTCCAACTGAACTGAACCCCAACACCGGGCTCATTGGGGAGAGCATTGACTGTTTGGCAGCAGGAGAAAATCGAGGGCACCTTTCTCTCAGAGGCGCCGGCAGCGAGCACTGAAGACCCGCATAGGGTGGGGCTGACGGAAGCCAAGGCTGCAGGCTCCACCCTAAAACCCCGCCCCATCTGTAACTGCGAAATGCGACAACAAAATAGATCACAAACGAAAGAAATGGAGGACAAAAAGCGGCTGGATATACAGTTCAAATCTACGCTTATAAGGTTTTTCAAGAATTTCCTAGAAAAGATGGATAAGACCTATGAGGATATGAAAAGAGATCAACTAGAATTAATAAGGAGTCATCAAGAAATGATAAGGGATCCACAAGAAATAAAGAATACATTGTCTGAAATAAAAAATATTTTACAGAGTCCTAAAAACAGAAGGGAAGATCACAAGAATCAAGTCAAAGATTTGGAACATAAAGAGCCAGAAGACACTCCTCCACAGAAGCTAGAAGGCAAGAGAATCCAGAAAATTGAAGATAATGTAAGAAACCTCTGGGACAACTTCAAGCGAACCAACATCAGAGTTATGGGGGTCCCAGAAGATGAGAGAGAGCAAGATATCGAAAACATACTGAAAGTAATAGTGACAGAAAACTTCCCCCACCTGGGGAAAGAATTAGACTTACAAGTCCAGGAAGCGCACAGAACACCAAACAAAAGGAATCCAAAGAGGACCACACCAAGACAAATCATAATTAAAATTCCAAGAGCAAAAGACAAAGAGAGAATATTAAAAGCAGCAAGAGCAAAGCAGGTAGTTACCTATAAAGGAGCACCTATACGATTGTCAGCTGACTTCTCAACAGAAACCATGCAGGCCAGAAGGGAATGGCAAGAAATATTCAAGGTGATGAATAGTAAGAACCTACAGCCAAAGATAATCTATCCAGCAAAGCTATCACTCAGAATCGAAGGTCAGATAAAGAGCTTCACTAATAAAAAAAAGCTAAAGGAGTTCATCAACACCAAACCAGAATTATATGAATTGCTGAAGGGGGTTCTTTCAGAAGAGAAAGTAAACAAAGATAAAAATTATGAACAACAAATACGTAACTATCAACAAGTGAATCTAAAAAACAAGGAAATTAAAAAAAAATCTGATGAACAATAGTAACTGTTGAATATAATAGAATCAGAGGTATGAAAGGGGAGTGAACTGATGATTCTTGGGGAAAAGGGGAGAGGGGGACGTGGGAAGAGACTGAACATAAACTGTGCACCTATGGATGAGGACAATGGGGAGTGGGGAAAGGGCAGAGGGTGGGGTGGGAACCTGGTGGAGGAGAGCAATGGTGGGGAGGAAAAAAAGGAACATTTGTCATAATATGAACAATAAAAACTTATTAAAAAAAAAAAAGACAACCTTTTATTTATTTTCTCCACTTCCGAAATACATATGAGGTTCGCCTTCCAAATCTATGGTTTCCTTAAAAATTTATTTTATTAATTTTATGATCGCAAATAATTAGTTTTTACCCACCTCAGATAACCACTTAAATATGAGATACTGTTAATGTCTGTTAAAGAAGAATGAATATCCTTGCTATGATCTTCTCTCCAATTATCCCTAGGAAACTTTTTCATTATAGCGTGATTGACCACCTCAGTTTGTTCAAGACTGAGGGGTTTCCTGGGATGCAGCACTTTCAGTGCCAAAACCCAGATAGTCCAAGGCAAATCAGAGTGATTGATCACCCTCAATCATAGTATTACAGAATTTTACTCACCTATAATCACTGTATAACATAATCTGCTTTTATACTTAGTGTTTTCATAAATATTTCCTTCTAATATATGATTTTCATAAGTATAATTTTTAGTTGCAATTTAGCCCTCCATTAAATCAAGATAGAATTCACCATTCTTCTATAATCGGTTACTTAGGGTATTTCCAAAAAAATTTTTTTTTTTTTCCAAATCACTTTTGCAGCTGCAGAAAACTTGAAAAAAAAAATATTTCCTCTTCTCATTATTCAAAATGTGGCTTAACACGTCAAGCTTTGTCAGTCTGTCAGATGCCTAAACCTAAGACCTAAAACTATAGAATTCTTAAAAGAAAACATGGTATAAAGTTTGAAGTCTTGGATTAGGCAATGATCTTTTAGATATAACACCAAAATCATAAGCAAAGAAAGAAAAAAATAAATTGAATATCATCAAAATTAAAAACCTTTGTGTGTCAAAGAAAGTAAAAATAAAACCATTGAAGGGGAGAAAATATTTGAACATGATGTATTTGATAAGGGTCTAATATCCAGAAAGTATAAAGAAAGTTTACAGATCAACAATAAAAAGACAAATAAGCCAATTAAAAAAAACTGGAAACATTTTTGA